ACACTTAAGTGAATGCAAAATTCGCTTTATGCTCAAATTCTTCTCCAATACATTTATCACAAATGAACAGACAAGTGTTATCACAGTCTATATTTGATTATGCAAATGAATAAATTCCTTTTTTTTGTTTTGTTTTAAGATAATCCCAGTTAGTTTTATTCCAGAGTCCTGAACAGTCATACATGGCTACTTAGTATTCCACTACATAATAGTAAGACAATTTAAATCCCAAGCAGGCTTTTCTGCATCTTTTTTTTTTTTCTGCATCTCTTAACAAATTTCTAGACTCTCTTTCCCTACTTTCAGTTCTTGTGTGTTCAGAGATTGAAAATTCATTTTAATATTAATATCGAGAAAACATCATTAAGAAAGTGGTATGGATGGACCTAAAAAAGATATAAAGATTCCAAAGCCAAATAGAAATGATTTTTTAAATATTTACCATCATAATCTGGAACACAGCTGACCTTTCAAACATAATTGAAGGTTGATGATTACAGAATTTTAGCTTGGTCCTGAGAAATTTTGGCCAGTTTCAGAATGATTTTCTTTTATGGATTCTGATACTTCAAAATCTATAAAAACTCTCCCAGAGATTGCAATATTAAATCAGTTCATGTCAATATTGTATCTCAAATCCTCTAACTTCGTATATAAAAAGTTTTTCCCTGAGTTATCACTTCAGCTCTTGTTTGTAACAAAAGCCTACACCCGTGACAGTCTTGTCACTGATGTTCCCAGTGATTACCCTTGTGGTTGGAGGAAAATTGGCTCCAAGTATACTGCCAGTTTGTATTATTCTTGCCAAGTGAAGAGAGCAATCATCCCACAGACAAATTGTTCCATACACTGACTGTGACTTGTCGCCTTTGTAACTCCTAAGTAGAGTTTATGCTGTGCAGATAAGGAGACAGAAAAAGTTCCTGAAACCCATTTTAGCCTTAGACCTGGGTAGTTTTTAAAGCCACTGGGAATGAGCCGGGTGGGAAACGGTTTTATCCTCATTCTTATCTATATGTATGATTTTGTGGCATTATACAATTCTCTTGTGAAACTAATTCAAATAACCATTTAATATGCATGTACTTTCAGTTCTGGAGTACCCTAGAAAGTAGTATCCTATGGACCAAACGTTGGCAAAATTTTCTGTAAAGAGCCTGGTAGTAAATATTTTAGGCTTTGTGGGCCATACAATCTCTGTCCTAATTACTCAACTCTGCCCTAAAAGCAGACATACAATACATAGACAACTAGGCCTGGCTGTATTCCAATAAAACTTTACAGTACTCCTCCTTTATCCATGGGGAATATGTCCCAGGACCCCCACTGAAACTGAACCCCGCAGTGCCTGAAACTACAGACAGTACCAAACCCTATATATACTATGTTTTTTCCTCTACACACATACCTATGATAAAGTTTAATTTATAAATTAGGCTCAGTAGAAGATTAACAACAATAATAATACAGTAGAATAATTATAACAACATACTGGTAATAAAAGTTATGTGAATGTGGTCTATCTCAAAATATCTTATTGCACTGTACTCACCCTTCTTCTTGTGGTGATATGAAATGATAAAATGTCTATGTGAGGAGATAAAGGGAGGTAAATGATGTAGGTGTTCCGATGTACTGTTAGATGACACGTCAGAAGGAGGAGCATCTGCTTCTGAACCACAGTTGATCTTGGGCAATTGAAACTGCAGAAAGCAAAACCATAGATAAGGGGGAATTGCTGTATTTACAAAAACAGACAGTGGGACAGATTTGTCCAGTGAACCATAATTTGCCTACCCCAGCTTTGGACCAGTAGCCTCCAGTTTTTTTTAACAGTGTCTTGGGGCAGTCTCTGGACCCTCAGGGACCTGAACTATTCCTGCTTCAGCTGGAGCAGTTATTCTTTTTATGATAAGTAGACTTTTGCCTGAAATTAGGTTTGATTAAAAAGTTTCATTTCTAATAAGGAGAAAAGCTTTAAAACTACTCCCTTGGACTAAACCTAAAACCTGCTGCTTTAAAAATTTAGATGATTCGGGCAAAGCATCTTTTATTTTATTTTTTTATTTTAAAAGATTTTTTTTTTTAAAGATTTTTATTTATTGAGAGAGAGAATGATAGAGAGAGAGCATGAGAGGGTGGAGGGTCAGAGGGAGAAGCAGGCTCCCTGCTGAGCAGGGAGCCCGATGCAGGACTCGATCCCAGGACTCCAGGATCATGACCTGAGCCAAAGGCAGTTGCTTAACCAACTGAGCCACCCAGGTGCCCTGGGCAAAGCATCTTTTAAAATGATGACACGGGGTGGGGAGAGGTGGCTGGCTGGCTTACTTAGTGGAGTGTATGACTCTTGATCTCAGGGTTGTGAGTTCAAGACCCACACTGGGTGTAGAGATTACTTAAAAATAAAACCTTAAAAAAATTATGAGGGGCGCCTGGGTGACTCAGGGGGTTGAGCATCCAACTCTTGGTTTGGGCTCAGGTCATGATCTCAGGCTTATGGGATCAAGTCACGTGTCAAGCCCCTGCCCCTCCCCCAACTCGTGCTCTCTTTCTCTAAATAAATAAATCTTTTTAAAAAATATTATGACATGTTGGGATGCCTGGGTGGTTCAGTCGGTTAAGCGTCTGCCTTGGACTCGGGTCATGATCCCACGGTCCTGAGATGGAGTCCCATATCGGGCTCCTTGCTCAGCGGGGAGCCTGCTTCTCCCTCTGCCTGCCACTCCCCCTGCTTGTGCTCTCACTCTCTCTCCCATGCTCTCTCTCTGGCAAATAAATAAATAAAATCTTAAAAAAAAATTATGACAGTCAGTACACATGTGTTTTGATGTTACCAGAAACTCACTTCCTCACATAACTGATATAAGCATTTAAACAGACAACTTTAATAGCTCTAAAATGTTTTCTGCTTATCATTTCTCCACTTTGATTTTTTCTAAGCATAATGTTTAAGGTACCTTAAAAGGTCCAAGAGAGAAAAAAAAAAAGATCCAAGAAAGGTGATATGGTATAGTGAAAAAAAGGCACCAAATTAGGAATCCATATTTGGATCTGTTCCTAGATTGTGAGCTCCTGGAAGACAGGAACTAAATTATCTTATTCATCTTTCTTTTTTTTTTTTTAAATAATCTCTATGCCCAACGTGGGGCTCAAACTCAGGACCTCAAGATCAAGAGCCACATGCTCTACCAACTGAACCCGTCAGGCACCCCAACACCAAACTTAATTTTTAAGGCAAACATATATTCACTATTAGATGACTAGGAAGAAAATAAATTCAGGTAGTCTGTCTACTTTTATCTTCTCACAATCCATCAGGAAAAAAAGCATATCTTTCCTAGTGAGCAACAAAAAGTTAGTATTGGAGATACAGTTTTATACCTGGGAAATTAACATGGTTAAAACACATAAAAGCTAATAATTACTAGATTGTGACAAAAGGACACAAGGACCCAGAAATCACTTGTCTGCAATTTTGAAATCCAAAAGGCTCTGGAAACTAAAAATTTTGTTTTGTATTTTTAGCAACTTACTTGACAGTCAAATTGACCTAACCTAAACTTATTTGGCAGTACTATCTGACCTGAACTGAATGAGGCTATTCACAGCTATTCATTTACTCCATATGAATAATTATATGGTTTGCTGCAAAAAAATATTACCATATTTGAACCTGCAGTGCTGCAGTGTTTCCCCTGAATTCCCTGGGATGTTACAGAAGTTACAGTATATGGCATTTGGTTTTACTCAAGTACACCAGACAACGCCAGGTCTTTTCCTGGTTGCTTTACAAGGAGAAATTTAGAACTTCATTTCATTTTAGCCTCTGAGGCCAAGTGCCCAGACCCAATCCAGTCTTTCCTGCTGCCATCTTGAGCAGTAGTTGAGGCTGAGCAAACAGTTCTGAGAGCCTTCCTGTCATGACTTCAATGGGAAACAAATGTGATTCAAGGATCATATAGAAAGTCAGTGTTATCACTCTGGTGGTGAATGATCCGGTAAAAAAGAACATCTCGTCTTTCCAAAAAGAAAGGGGCGCCTGAGTGGCTCAGTCGTTGGGCGTCTGCCTTCAGCTCAGGTCACGATCCCAGGATCCTGGGATCGAGCCCCACATCGGGCTCCCTGCTCAGCGGGAAGCCTGCTTCTCCCTCTCCCACTCCCCCTGCTTGTGTTCCCTCTCTCGCTGTATCTCTCTCTGTCAAATAAATAAAATTTTTTTTAAAAAGTACTTTTGTATTTTCATCACTGGACATAGGGCAATCAAGGGTCAGAATTAAGTTACTAGCTCTTAGCTTTGCAACGGTATCTGTTCAATATATATTTACCATGGACTGATCCGCATCTTGGCCAGCCTGCAAGAATTTCTCTCACATTAAGTGTGGGCAGCAACAAATATTGTAGAGAAAGAGTAACTGGAGGCCTTATGCTGGCTCCGCTCCGGCAATAAATCCATCATTACTTCATGGAACTGGCACACTCCCCACGTATCTCTCATGGACCCCACCCTCTGGCCGGCAGGAGCGTATTTAGGGATCCCAATTAGAGATCCTGTAGTAAATAGGACGAGTTATTCCCGTAACACTCGAGGAGGTGGACCTGCCTATGCCCTAGGGTGGGATATTCCGGGCTGGGATAAATTAAGACGACGTAAATAAATGTAAACTACAATGCCAATGCTTCCCGACAGCATTTCCTCTCAAGGGAAAAAAGCAGACTCAAAACCATCCCTCCGAAGATGCCTCCCTTTGGAAAAGCAGAACTAGAGGTAAGACGATCAGCCAGACCCCACCTACGTCGAGCTCGCTCGCTCAGATCTAAGGCACCACGCCGCTCCTGCGCAGGTTGTAGGCTCCACCCTCCTCGGCTACTTCCGGCCTTCCCCGAACGCCCTCAACGCGCTTGCGCCGTTTTGATAGGCCTCTCGGGTAGAAGAAATCTGAGCGCTGCCGCTCTGGAACCGCCCCCGCCTCCTCGTCGCCCTGCCCACTCTTTAACCGGCCCCTCCCGAAATCTCGCGAGGTTAGGTGCGCGTCGGTATTTTGCGGGCAACTGACTCTCCCAGCTGCTGTAACTGCTGCTGCGGGAGAAATTGGAGCTGCTGTTGTCGGCGCGCCCGCCCTCCCCCACGGAGAGCCACCGCCTCTTCTCTCGCTCTCCTTGTACACCTATCGCCCGGAGCGGCGGCTGCAACAGTTCCTGGACCCACCGCCGCCTCCTCAGGCTGCCGCTCGGCCGGTCATTCCCACAGCCCGGCAGCTGACGGCGGCCCCCTGCCCCTCACCGGCTCCTCACTCTAGATCGTCTCCCCCGTCCCTCTCCTCGCCTGCCTGGGACCCACCTCCCCACGGTCTCGCCGGGGTGGAAGACGACGAGGAGGAGACGAAAGTCACCCTCTCTCCAGGCGGCGCCGGGCCCCTCACCCGCGGGTGTGTCCTATAAATGGCGTCGGAAAGCGACACCGAGGAATTCTTTGATGCCCCTGAAGATGTGCACCTAGGGGGCGGCTACCCTGTAGGGTAAGTAACTGGAGCTCTGGCCCAGAAGCCGGGCGCTCCAGTCCCCCGGCTTCTCTTGTGCCTTCCCCCGGCACCCCTCCCAGGTCCCGCTGTGTCCGCCACCGCTGCTCCTCTGTGTCTCACTCGGGCACTTCAGAGGGAGTCGGGGGAGGGGGAATCGCCCACCTGGGCCAAACCCCCTCCTTTTCTTGGTGAGCGGCCCCTGGGGCTAAGGAGCCCCTCTCTCGTCCTGTCCAGGCTTCTTCGAGGTGGGACAGCTTACGTGCCCGAGAGCCGGCGATTTGTATTTGTGGGGTTCAACGCTTTACCTTCGAAACATCCGTTTTGGCCCTGGGGACCACAGATTAAAGGAGCAGTAACCGGAGAAATTGCGTTTCCCGTTGGTTTTTTCTTTTGCCGCTAACTTACCTGTTCGTTTCAGAGGTAGCTGTAACTATGTGCCGTCCTCTTCGTTGCACAGAAAGAAAAGGAGCGGGGGAATGGTTGGGTATTTTACTTAGGAAAGTGCTCTAGCTGATGTACTCTAGATAAACAGTGTTTTATTAAAATAGCACCTTACGGTGAGGCAAAGGAAATCGGAGACAAGGTCCTTACCATTAGGGAGAATGCCATCCTAAAAGGGTAGCCGGACTCCGTTGTACATAACCAACTACAGAGATACAAACAAGTGCTGAGTAATCTGGTGGTTGCAAGGAGAGCCACAGCTTTGTGTTATTTATCTAATTCTGCAAGATGTTTTAGTGATGATTAGTATGAGAGATTCTGTGTAAGGAAGTGCAGTAGTTGGAGTGCTTCGCTTGACTGAGACTTCTACTTACCCACTCTTCCACTTTTCAAAGTTGAAACAGGGTTTGAAGCTATTTTGCCGAACTCTTCTACGGACTTGTGTGGAAGTAGAGGCAGTGAAATATATTTTCATGCTGTAAGAACTTGAGAGTTGGTAAAATTTGTATGTTAATGGAAGTAGACACTAATACGGTTACAGGAGTTCAACTGCCTACAATTCCCAAACTTACCCCCTGGAAGAAAGACCGTGTTTGATGCAAATAAAATTATCTGTACTTTCTAGAAGTCGTTCTAAAGCCTAATATATTTTATATATTAACATATACCAAAAAAGTAATAGCAGCAAAATCAGAAAGAAATGTACGTTGGTAGATGACAGATGTGTTTCCACCAACCTTCCTATCACTATTATGAGATTTTTGGGTGGCAGTGGCCAATCTTGAGGTGGCATTGAGTCTCCTTCAAGTTCAGCAAGTTCATAGCTAGATGTTAGAGGATTGAAAATACTTTTGGATTTCCAAATAGTTTGGATTCCTTTGAAATTAAATTTTGTTTTTGTGGTTTTCCCCTCAAAGTAGTGAACTGTCGATTTAGGTTAAATGACAGACCTAATCTTTTAGTGCTTTTGAGTGTGTGTATGTGGAGTGGGGGAAGGAAATAACAATCTATGTATATGATCGTAATCAGTTTAGAAATATGTGAATATTGTTTCTTTCAATGAATGAAACATTTAATTTTGAAGGACAGTTATATCAGGAGTGTCTCTTGTCTAGCCAGCCTAGTACCTGGCACAGAGAAAGAACCCAAATGTCTATTCCCTTCTTCCTTTCTTGGAATTAACAAATTTAACTTCACACGGTGGTTACTTTGGGAGGAAGTATGCAGAACTTGGAGCTATTTAACTTATTTAAACCCAATGAGTCATTTTGATAGAATTGATAGAATCACTTCTTGGCTCGTGGAATAATAGAACTTCTCAAGCACTTTGATCCTTTGATAGTAGGTGAAAAGTAAAAACGTCTTTTGGGACCCTGCCTTCTAATTTTAACTCTGAACTCTCCAACCTCTCCAAATAGTAATCCTGTTGAACTCTGTGGGTAAAGCTGTAGTGTCAGTCTGTGAATTTCATGGCTCCATTCTGTATTAGTTGGGGGGGGGGGAGCAGATTTGGATTCATCTGGAGAATTGCATCTGAAAAGAACTAGCAGTACTGGGAGGACTGATAAAGGTTGGCATCATTAACATTTCCTCTGTTCTTTGTGACTGGTTTTGTCTTTTGCATAAGGTACCGTGAAGAGAAATGCAGTGAGAAATCTTTTGATTTGTGGAAACAGATGCTATCACTAGATATCTGGTCATCAGAAATATCTTCTGTCCCTTGATATGAATTGGAGTGGCACACCATATAAACTCTTAAGAGGTTAACAGACTGAGTTTGCAAACTTTAAGAAATGTTCCTTGCTGTTGGGTGTGCCACAGTACACAGACCATCTTCATCAAATTGTATTAAACTGATAGGCAAGTGAGAGTTATCTCATATGTTTTGTTAATCAGAATCCAAGTACACAATCTGTTTCCTAAAATTGATTTATTTCTTGTTCCCCTCCAGTGGTGTCTTCAGCTTTGTTGTTCTGCTCTTTGAAAGTTCAAACTCAGCCCAGTTTTTAAATAGAAGGACTTGATTCCAGTACAGCCTCCTTTTCCACAGTGGCAGGTCTTCTCCAATCGCCCAGCTTTGCAATATTAGCACGTTTATTTTTTTTAATTTTTTAAAAGATTTTTTATTATTTATTTGAGAGAGAGAGAGCAAGAGAGCACAAGCAGAGGGAGAGGGAGAAGCAGGCTTCCTGCAGAGCAGGGAGCAAATGCGGGACTCGATCTTAGGACCCTGCGATCATGACCTGAGCTTGAAGGCAGATGCTTCACCAACTGAGGCACCCAGGTGTCCCTTATACCACATTTATAATGCTTTCTTTTGATTGATATATTAGGTCAGATTTCCTTGTTTTCTCCATTTTAACATATGAGGAACCTTTGGCTCAGAGAGGTTAATGAATTGGCCTATGAGACACAGCTTGTAAGTGACAACTGGGATTTGAAGCCAGTTCTTCAGACTCCAAGTCTAGTATTTTTTTTCCAGCACATCATAGCTGTCCCACACTGTGTGTATGCATTTGTGTGTAGAGATTCTGGAGTAAAATGCTTTAGGACCAGCTTGCTGAATTGAACTGATGCATCTATTTAAAACTAGCAGCCCACTTTTCAGTTCTCTTGGCTAGAAATTCCCATTTTTCTCTTTCAGGAATGTTTATTTTGTTTTGTCACATAGGATTTTTTTTTTTTTTTTTTGGTGGGCAGCAAAGCAAAGTTTATTGAGCGATATTGAGTGAGAGTACAAAGCTCCCAAAGAGGGAGGGGACCCAAGAGGGTTGCCCTGACAGATAGGAATTTAATAAGATCATAGCATGTTATAGCTAGAAGGGGCATCTAGTTAAATTTCTGCATATAAATTATTGTGAAAACCAAAGCCTAAGGAGGGAAAGCGACTTGTCCAAGGTGCCACAGCCAATTAATGGCAATTAGGACTAGAATCCAGGTCAGTTTCACAGTCTAGTGTTCTTTTTGCTACTATGCTGTCTTTTGATAAAGCAGGAAAGGGAGGAGGAAGTGTGGTATAGTAGAAAAAAGCCCTGGACTCTGAGTCATTTCATTTCCTCATCTTTAAATTGAGATTACACTCTGAGAACTCTTCCAACTCAAAGTCTCTCATCATGTTGAGCTTTAATAGTGCTTTTATTGGTAAGTTTTTATTCTTGGGAAATCTTGCCATGATATTTTTTTTTAGTTTTTAGTTTTTATTTAAAAAGATTTTTTTTAATATTTATTTGAGAGAGAGAGAGAGTGCTCACACAAGCAGGGGGAGTGGCAGAAGGAGAGAGAAAGAAGCAGGCTTCCCGCTGAGCAAGGAGACCCATGGGATCATGACCTCAGCCGAAGGCAGACACTTAACCAACTGAGCCACCCAGGCGCCCTTTTTTTTAGTTTTTAGTTTAACAAATGATGGTATTTGGTACATGATTCAGGACCCATAGATTTTATTTTATGGTTTTTTTTAAGGTCCATAGATTTTATTTTTAAAAATTTTTTAAAGATTTTATTTGAGAGAGTGAGCACATGCATGCATGCACAAAAGGGGGGAGGGGGAGAGAGAGAAGCAGACTCCCCGCTGAGCAGGGATTTCGATGCAGGGACCCAATCCCAGGACCCTGAGATAGAGACCTGAGCCAAAGTCAGATGCTTAACCACCCAGGTACCCCTAGACCCATAGATTTTAAAAAATGTTTACTGGGTAAATTATATATGAGATGAATGCTCTTGCTAGTTTGTGTGGATTTTACATACACATACTAAACGCTGGCAGTGAGAACATGTTATAAAAATAAATGTGACATTTTGAGCATTCTTTATTTTTTTAGTGGCAACCAAAATATTTTTGAGGCCTTGAAAGGATGGATAGAATGGTGACATTTTTAGGAAAGGATCAGAGATCATTCAGCCCAGCCCTCGCATTTAACTGAAAGAGAAACCTAGGCCCAGAGAGGGGAAGTCAACACATTGCTGATTAGTGGCAGACTTGAAACTAGAACCCAAGTCTCCTGATTTCCTCATTTATACCATGCTGCCTTTTCTCTGGAAGGAAGATAAGTATTGCTAGCTATCCCTGCTCTAGGTTACTGACACTTACCCTTTTGGTGGGGGTCTTCCCCCCACCTTCTGTTAGTGGGGATCTTAAGATGGTCTTCCATCTACTGTGATTCTATTTTGTTGCTGTCAGAGGACATGGACAGTTCTGTCTAGGATTCTAGCTTTTGCCCACTAATTTTCTCCAAATGAGGATGAAAACTGGTGGCAGAATAGTTGCTCTAAGAATAGTGATTGTTATTTAGTTCAGTTTCAGTAGTCTAGTTAGTGTGAACCCCAGTCTATCATTTTTTTTTTTAAATAGGCTCCATGCCCAACATGGGGCTTGAACTCATGACCCTGAGATCAAGAATTTCAGGCTCCACTGACTGAGACAGCCAGCTGCCCCAATAGTCTATCATTTTAGATTGGAGTAATGGTGAAATCTTGATTTTTAAGTCATGAAAACTGAGATCAAACTGTCCTGAAGAATTGTTCAATCTGAAAACAAAAAGTTGCATAGCCGCCTTTGT